AGGAGGGGCGAGGAGGGGCGCCGCCGGGGGAGGAGGGGGGAGGAGGGGCGCCGCGGGGGGGGAGGGGGAAGGAGGGGCGTCGCGTGGGGGGGCGGGAGCGAGGAGCAGCCCCCAGGGACCACTCCGCTGGGGTCCATCTGAGGAAAGCAGTGGAGGGCCAGAGGGGAGGTGCCAGTTCTCCCTCCCCGCAGGTGGTGCTGGTGGGCCAGGAGCCTGTGCTGTTCTCGGGTTCCGTCAAGGACAACATTGCCTACGGCCTGAGGGACTGTGAGGACGCTCAAGTGATGGCAGCTGCCCAGGCGGCCTGCGCGGGCGACTTCATCGGGGAAATGGCTAACGGAATCTACACAGGTACCGATGCCCCGAGCCCCCGGCGGGGGAAGGAGAGATGGGGCCAGGACCAGGGCACTGAATTGATCTCCAGAGCCCAATTTTTAGGGGGGGGGGGAGTAATCCCCGCTCTGAGGATGCAGACAGGAGGGTCCTTGCAGTCCTGTCCAAGCCAGCGAGAGACTTGGTTTCACAAACAGACACTGTCCAAGGAACAGCCCCACATGCCCCCACAGTGCCCCCATACACAGAGGCCCATAAGCATGCTTGTGAGCACCCACCAGGCGCCCCTCCTCCCCACACACACAGGCTCCTGTGCATACACACACATCAGATAGTGGAACTTAATCCGGGGTGATGTATCCGCATGGCTCCTCCCTCTGTTCCCACTTCTCCCCCTTCCCCACCCCCAGCTCCCTCCCTGCCGGGCTTTGCTCCCTCCTGGTTGGCTGGAAGTCCTCCGTGGGAGGGGTGTTTTCTGACCCGCGTGTCTCAAGAGGGAATTGTCTCTGATTTTCTCAGAAATAGGAGAGAAAGGGGGCCAGCTGGCCGTGGGACAGAAACAGCGCCTGGCCATTGCCCGGGCCCTTGTGCGGAACCCACGGGTCCTCATCCTGGATGAGGCTACCAGTGCCCTGGACGCTCAGTGTGAGCAGGCTGTGAGTACCGGCGTGGAAGGGGTGGGCGTGGGGTCTAGGTGTGAGCGGGCTGTGAGCACCGGCCTGGAAGGGCGGGGCAGTGGGGTCTAGGGGATGTTGTTGGAAGGGTCAGGTGGTGTGGACCTGAGCAGGGGTGCTCAGAGGCCCCACTGTTGGGGAGACCGTCGGCACCTTTCAGGGCTGTGAGCTGTAAAGGCTGCTTTTTGTCGCTGGCCGAATAGCCGGCACAGGAGCTTAGCAGACAGGGTGGTTTTGGCTCCCGGGTAGAGGGACACACCATCCCGGCAGGGAGGGCGCGGCTGTGGGGACGGGCAGTTTGGGCTCTTCACGTATTGGTGGACGGAGAAGCAGGGGGTGGGGTGCTGGCACCCAGCTGCTCCCGATACCCCCCCCCCACATGGTCCAGGCCCCGGGCAGGGTTGGTGCCACCCACCTTTAGGGTGGATCTTTTTCCTCTCTGGATTCTTGAGCCGATCATCACAGACACACCCAAAAGTGTGCCTTGCCCACGCCCTGGGCTTTCTTAAGTTTCGTTGGCAATGGAGACGGACCGTCTCCAGGATGGAGTGGAGAAATGGTGTGCGTGTCTGGTCCTCCATAGCTGCTTTCGCCAGTGGCAGCTGCACAGCCTCGGAGAAGGGCGGACCCCCGCCGCCTGCCCCCTGCACAGCTCAGGGCCCAGCTCTTGTCCCAGGCTCGCCGTTCTGAGGCCCGTGCTCTGTCCCCTGCAGCTACAGGCCTGGAGATCGCAGGGCGACAGGACGGTGCTGGTGATCGCCCACAGGCTGCACACGGTTCAGAGCGCCGACCAGGTCCTGGTGCTCAGGCAGGGGCGGCTGGTGGAGCGTGACCGGCTCAGGGAGGACCAGGATGTCTACGCTCAGCTGGTGCAGCAGCGGCTGGAGGAGTGAGGCCTCTGGATGCCTCAGAACTGTGGCCGGGAGCAGACGCACAGGGGCAGAGCTGGAGTGGGGATGAAGATCGGGACCATTTTGGACCCTGTGTGCTTTGGTGGGCTTGATGGGTGAGAGTCGGGGGATGGGTGATTGCCGAGTGGACTGGTTGTTTTTTTGGTCTAGAAACATTATTTTTTGCTGAATATACAAATAATAAATACGTAAGAATGCTTTTCCTTAATTCATGTTATGGTTAATATTGCTGACATTTTAACCGCATCTGGAATCGCGGCCAACATCTGGCTAACATCTGGGCATGTCTACGGGGGAGTTCTAGTTCCGGGTAACTGAAGTGGGAAGGCCCGCCCCACTGTGTGGAACCAGCCCGTGGGCGTAAAAAGGAGAAAGTGAGCTGAGCACCAGCCTGCATCCCTCGCTGCTTCCTGACTGCGGACGCCTTGTGACTGACGCCTCTCATTCCCGACGAACTGGGTCCTTGCACCACAGCCAAACCTCCCTTAAGTCGCTTTTGTCGGGGGTTCTGTTGCAACTAATACGATCTGTACATACAAATAAGGGCACGTTCATATAGGCGGCTCACAGGGTGATTTACTTCCTGGATATGACCATTGTTATTCTTTTGTTAGCTGTCTTTTCAATGCGTATCTGTTCTTTAAAATGCAGGTCACCCAATTTCACACGAATAGTCATAAGGCTGCCTTTCTGTACGCTTCCAGTACCTGATATATATATATCTTTTATTTATTTTTTTGGATAGGGTCTTTACACATAGCCCTGGCTGTCCTGGAACTCATTGCATAGACCAGGCTGGCCTCAAACTTAAAAGAGATCCACCTGCCTCTGCCTCTCAAGTGCTGGAATTAAAGGCGTCCACCATCTTGCCTGGCCATGTAACTGATTTTTTGGGGGGAACTAGAGGATGGCAGGGCAGAGCTCAGCTCTTGCATTAACAGGGTTGACAGTGTAATTGTGCGGATGAGAGCTGGGCCTGCGGAGTTTGAGTGTGGGCAGAAACACAGATGTTTCCCATGTGTTGTCTTTAATCCTTATTCAGAGCTCTAGGGATCTGTATATTTACCATTTCCAGGTTCTTTATCACTTCCGTTTTATGAGTGGGGAAACTGAGGCACAGAGAGATTAGAAACCAAGGTGTTTGGCTTCATTTTGGTTGCCGTGACCGGCACCCTGACGAAAGGCTGGGGGAGAAAGGCGTATATGGCTCACAATTCTGGATCACAGTCCATCAGTGAGGGAGGTCAGGGCACGATGGCAGCCATGCCTAACCAAGGAGCTCCCTTCACAGCCAGGGATGGGCAGCAGGGACCATAGCGGCTGCTGCTCCTTGGTGCCCGGCTTATGCTCAGCTTTTGTACGAAGCTCAGGACCTCTGGCCAGGGGATGGTGTGGTCCTCATCAAGCTGGGTCTTCTACAGAGACAGTCAAGGCCAGCCCCCCAGACCTGCCCACGGGGCGGGTGACCTGATGGCAGGAAATCCTTGCCAAGCCTCTCTTCACAGCTGTCTTAGCTGTGATGAAACACCACAGGCAGAAGCAACTTACAGGAGGGAGGTTTATCTGGCTCGTGGCTCAAGAGCCAGAGTCTGTAATGGCGGATGAGGCACAGCCGGTGTCAGAGCTGGAGACCGAGAAATCGAGTCTGTCCCTAAAGGAAGCGGAGAGCAAATTGCAGTGGTGCAAATCTACCACCTCCCCAGATGACGTCAGCAACCCGGACCAAACACTCAAATACTTGGTCCCATGGGTGACGGTTCTCATTGAAAGCACCAAGCCGGGTGATTCTGGGCAGCGGCACGCCGACATCAAAAACATTAAAAAAATTGCTCAGTTTATTTTCTGTCTGTGTTTGTCTGCATGTTTCTATGTGCACCCATGTGAGCCTGGAGCCTGTGGAGGTCTGAAAAGGAAGGGCATTGGGTCCCCTGATTTGGAGTTGAGCTGTGAGCCTGTCTGTGGGTGCTGGGTGTGAATCCAGCTCAGGTCCTGTGCGAGAGCAACAAGTGTTTTTAAACCCCGAGTTATCTCTCCAGCCTGCAAGTTGACATTTAAAACTAACCACCAGGGCTGGAGAGATGGCGGCTCAGAGGTTAAGAGCGCTGGCTGTTCTTCCAAAGGTCCTGAGTTCAATTCCCAGCAACCACAGGGTGGCTCACAACCATCTATAGTGAGATCTGGTGCCCCCTTCTGGTATACAGGCACACATGCAGGCAGAATGCTGTATAGATATTAAATAAGTTAAAACAAACCAAAACTCAGCACCACACAGGGTCAGACGCTGTCGGAGTCAGCGTCTGGATATAGGTCTGGAGTCTGAATTCTGAACACAATTGTTCAGAATCCCAACTCAAGTCAGACCACCTGAAGCCACTGGCTTCGGGAACTCCAAATCCACTATTCTCTCTCCTGTGACAGCTGCCATTCACAGCCTTTGATCATCCAGCCACCAGAGCTTTCTGTCATGAGTGTCCCTTTCTCCCCTGTTCAGGAAGGTGGGTTTTCTTTCTGGAGGGAGCTGGAAAGGTGCAACTTCCATTGTGGGCTTCTGGGCCTGGAGTCTTTGCCCAGCACACAGGGGGCCCCCAACCTCCCTGTCCTGGTCCATCAGGAAGTTCCCTGACCACCCTCCTGACTTCCCACAAGCCCTCCAGGGTTAACTGAGGGCTTCCAGGAGCCCTCCCAGGAGCCCACTTGGGAGGCTGCCTCTCCAGGAGTCACATGGGCTCATGTCCTACCTCCCTTAAGCTCCCCCGCCCACTGCTTGTCCTCTAGGCCAGGAGTTCCCCGGGGAAAGGCAGTATCTCATTAGGCTTTGTGTCTTTGACCTGGCACAGAGCCCAGGTTCACAGAGCATGAATAGGGAGTCTGTTGGGGAAATGAACTCCTGAGGCAGATCTGCCGCTGTTCAGCTCACTGGTGCTGGGAGGGCCGCCCTGGAGACAGTCCTGTTCGGGGAAACAGAAACTTGGACATTCCTGGAAACAGCAGGTACTTTCCAGCTCTAGCCGGGAGCCTGCCAGCTCAGCTGCTCATCCCTCAGCCAGGCAGCTGTTGGCACCCATGGACTGCCCAGGGGAGGTGAGCGAAGCCCGGGGGTGTGTGTGGAGAAGGCTTAGCCAGAGTCCTCCCTCGTCCCACAAAAGCTCCCCTTCTATAGGGAAAAGAATTCTTTTGTCGCTGACTTTAGGGAAGATGGTGTGTGAGGAGTCTCTGAATTTTTTCACTACAATCACATTCTTGAAACCTGGAATAGCATCTTAAAAATAGCATAGCAGGGGCTGGAGAGGTGGCTCAGAGCTTAAGAGCACGGGCTGCTTTTCCAGAGGACCCGGGTCCCATTCCCCACAGCCACAAGGCAGTTCCAGGGACCTGACGCCCTCTTCTGGCCTACATTGGCACTGCACTCACACGGTACACGGACACACACACAGGCAAAACACCTGTGCACACGTACATTAAATTAAAAAAACAAAACTCGGCAGGGCTGGGCAATGATGCTTTCTGCAAAGTCTGATGACCCCAGTCCAGTCCCTGGAGCCCGTGTAACGTAGGGAGAGGACCAACTCCCCCAAATTGTCCTCTGACCTTCATGTAACACAAGCTGAGCCACAAGATCTCTCTCTCTCTCATATTATAAAATGATTTATAAAATTATAAAAATATAAAATTAAAAAATTATAAAATAAGGCTTACCCAGCCTTATTCTAAAAAACTGCTGCATACCAGCTTTACCACAGGTGGGTCTTATTGTGTTAAAATATTTTTATTACTTTTATTTAGGGTATGTGTGTGACTGTGCGTGCGAACAGATAGCGACTGCTTCAGTTGGTCAGTTCTCTCCTCACACTTCGTGGGACCCAGGCATTGAACTCGGGTCATCAGACTTGGCCACAAGTGCCTTTCCCCGTGGCGCCATCTTGCCAGCCCTCATTAGACATCACCACGAATGCCTACAACACGCTTTGATCATGCTCAGCCCCGGTCACCCTTGTTACCCTCTTTCTCCACCTGCCTCGCTGAGAGCCCCCCCCCCCGTTTCCATGTTTGCTTTATGCTCACAGAGAGAAGCCATGGGGTGCTCCTGGTAAACCTGTCTTCCTTCTCCGTGTGACATCTCCAGCTCCATCCATTGTTCTGTCCTGAGTTTATCCGTCCTTGTGGATGAACAAAGCTGGTTGTGACTGGCCAGCCATCCTCTTTCTTCGCCAGCTGATGGGCATGTGGGTTGCTCAGTAGCTCACCTGGTGTGTGTGTGTGTGTGTGTGTGTGTGTGTGTGTGTGTGTGTGTGTGCAGGGTCTGCTGCACGCTGGCTTCGGTCCTTCAGGCGTGTGCTTCAGCGCGGTACGGCAGCCCGTGTGGTGGTTTTGATTTTGTCTTTGGAGAGCCTCCGTAGGGATGCTTGCATCCTGGAGAGCTCACACCTCCACCGGCAGAGTGCAAACACCCGAGGCCGTAACAATTTTTTTCCTTTCTGGTTTATAACACAGGGTCCCACCATGTAGACCAGGGCTTGAACACACAGACAACCATCCCCCTGCCTCCACCTCCCAAGAGCTGCATTTTTTTTCTTTCTTTACCAAATCTGTTAATCTGACGGCCGTGTTGTGTGTGCTGTGTGCCCGGTGCCCACAGAGGCGGGAAGGGGCGTCAGATTCCCTGGACCTGGAATAACGGATGTGCGTGAGCTGCCGTGTGGGTCTGGGCTGGGCCTGGTCCTCTATCAGAGCAGTAGGTGCCGTTAACCCCGGGCCATCGCTCCGGCCCTGCCCTTCTTCTTCTTTCCTGGTAGTCAGGCTCAGGTGAGATGGACTCTCAGTACACCTAAACATTTTTATGTCATTTATTGATTGTTGTTTGTGTGGGGTGAGCACTCCCACCACAGCTGCGTGTGGAGAACGGAGGACAGTTTCGCCGAGCTGGTTCTGTCTCTCCACCATGTGGGTCCTGAGGCAAGTGCATTTCCGCCCCGAGCCATCTCCAGGGCCCTCAGCGGAGAGCGTAAAGAAACGTGTTAGCGTTAGGTCCCGGCTCCCTGTGGCACACTGGGACGCGCTCAGTTTCGGTTGGCCCGGCTCTTCCTGCGCCCAGGTTCGCCCACCCCTTCTGTTCCACTGACGTCCATGTTCTGTGAGCCTCGCACCCTCCTTTGCGAGCTTTCCCCGTGTGCTCTTGGCTGCATGAGCTTCTTCAATGGTTTTTGTTTTTTTTCAGGGCTGCAGGTGCCAGGTGGCCTGGCCCGAGGAAGGCCCTGGGGTTGGTTCCCGGCACCACAGACACGTTTTCACCCAGATGTGTCTTCATTTACCAGCTGGGTTATTTGTGTTTTAGTGTCTGGTGTCCTGAGATTACTGTGTGTTCTGGGTCTGAGTCCCCGTCAGGCAGGCAGCTGGCAAAGCCTTCCCTCCCGATCTGGCCCTGCCGTTCTGTCCCTCCGCGTTCTGCCTCCATTTCTTTGGCTCTTCAGGAGGTTTTTAATCTAACACAATCCCACTTTTTAATTCTCACCTTTGTTCCCTGGGCTTCTGGGCCTTTCCAGCCGCTGCTCACACCTGGATCTTGCAGCGTTTCCGTAGCTTTGGTCCATCCTGGCGAGTTTTTGTACAGGGTGACAGAGAGGGAAGGAGGGCTTGGTCTTTCTGAAAGAAAGCGTGGGCGGAGGGGGACACTCTCAGGAAGACTCTGTGGATTCCTACGGTCCACCCAGACGGCTGCCCGGTCTGTCCTGTTCTCTGTGGGGCAGCATCGAGCCCCCAGTCCTCAGAGCTCTGCACAGTGGGATGGCTGCCTGAGGGACCTGCAGGGGAGGGATCCCTCAGGGAGGGGTGTGGCGTAGTCAGACAGCGACCTTCCTAGTCCCGAGCTGGGTGAGCCAGGGCAGCGCTGGTGTGAGCCCGATGCCCCCTGGCGGCTGTGGGAAGCACTGCGTGAGTTTAGGGACTCCTGAGCTGGGCTGTGCTCTCTGGGGGCTTCCTGATCGCTGCAGCTGCGTCCGGGCCGGGCATGCACATTCTTACTTTATTCTCAAGACAGCCTCACGTGGCCGGTGTGGTTGCCACGACTCTGAACATGAGAACACGAGTTCAGAAACAGTCACTGGGGCTGGAGAGATAGCTCAGCAGTCAAGAGCCCTGGCTGCTCTCCCAGAGGTCCTGAGTTCAATTCCCAGCAACCACACGGTGGCTCACAACCATCTATAACGAGCTCTTCGTGCAGGCACACATGCAGGCAGAACACTGTATACATAATAAATAAATACATTTTTTTTTTTTTTAAGTGCAGAAACAGTCACTAACCTGACAGGGTCTCACACGTGGACAAGGGTGACTTTGACTTGGGAACAGAAGTCTTGTAAACACTTATTCTCTCACTATTCTCATTTTGAAAATGTATAAAAAGGGCAACATTTTAATGTGGTTGAAAATTCAAAAGTCAAGGAGGAACGCCTCACTCCTTTACTCCTGGCTGGCCAGAAGATCTGGTTCCGAGCTTCAGGCCTGCCAAGCTGAAGAGATTGGATCTACGTGCCTATGTCATCCTGGCTAGTTTTTGTCAGCTTGACACAGATATGCTGCCTGGGAACAGGGAGCCTCAGCTGAGAAAACGTCCTCAGCACATGGGCCTTGAGCAACCTGTGCTGCATTCTCTTGACTGATGATTGACGTGGGAGGGCCCGGCTCGCTGTCCCCCCTGGCAGGCGGTCCATGGTATATAAAAAACCAGGCAGAGCAAGCCACAGGGAGCAAGCCACGGGGAGCAAGCCATGGGGAGCAGTGTTCTTTCCGTCCCTGCCTCCAGTTCCACCCTTGAGTTCCTGCCTCGACTTCCCTTAATGGTGACGATGTGATGGAGATTTGTCGGCCAAATAGAACTTTCCTCCCCACATCACTTTTGGCCATGGTGTTTGCCACAGCAATAGAGAGCTGTGACACACAAATCTACATACTCCTGCCTCACGTTTCCCCAAATAGCAGCTCTCTAAATCCACCCTTCTAAAATTTATATTTTACATTGAATGTGTAAAAATGGCCGTGCCTCAGTGATGCACACTGTTCCATTGGGAAACTCTGATGTGCAGCTTAAGCTCCTTGGAAGTGGACTCTGGGAACGAGGAGGCCCCTCCCTGTCTCCTCCAAAACTCCTGCCCGGGTCAGGCCAGCCTCCTAATTGCCACAGGGAGAAAGGAAAACAGCAAATAGCTAAGGGCAATAGAGACACAGCGACCTTGAGAACTTCCGGGAGGTGGAGGCTTCTAACGGAGGTTTCTGCTGTCTCCCTGACAGTGTGAGGATGTCTGAGGAGGGGCTGGGAAGTCGGAGGTCTTCCAGGCGCAGGGTGGACCCTCCACCCTGAGCTCTCTTAATCCCGACTTCCAGCCTTGGCTTCCTCAGTTTCTGCTGAGTGAGTGTAAGCTTCTGACTGATGATGTCATCTCTGTCTGTTGCTCTTTGAAGTTCACTCTCCCAAGGGATGCTCAGCCAGGACTCTCCCATCCACAGGGAACTCAGCCGGCTGCCTCAGCACGTTTTTCCCCTGATTTCTCTTGGGGCTCCATTTGGTGTGTTCCCTTAGCTCTGTCATGCCTGCTGCTGGCTGATTAGTCTATCTATTTTGCTTGTGTGTATTTAATAAATGCATCCACTGTGGAGGGAGAAGCACAGGGTTTGTAGCTCGCCCTCCGGACCACACAGAACAAGCCGGCAGCTGGGTGATGTTCATACAAATCTTTGGCCGTTGTCCACAATCCTTGTTTAGATGCCAAGATGCCTGCATACAAACACGCCACCAGCATGAAATCCCATGGTTTACACCACTAAAGTAGCTTGGTAGGGCATACTGGCTAGTTCTGTGTGTGTGTGTGTGTGTGTGTGTTTGTGTGTGCATGTTTGTCAACTTGATCTAAGCTAGGGCCATCTGGGAAAAGGGAACCTTAGTTGAGAAAATGTCCTCAGCAGATTGGCCTAGGTAAGTCTACAGGGCTTTTTTTTTTTTTTTTTTTTTTAATTGATGATTGATGTGGGGTGGCCCAGCCCACTGAGGGAGATGCTCTGGGTAGCGGAAGACCACAGGCTGAGCAGGCCGCGTGGAGCAATCCAGTAAGGAGCGCCCCTCCGAGGCCTCTGTGGTTCCCGCCTGCGGGTTCCTGCCCTGACTTCCCTCATCGATGGACCATAGCTGTCGGGTGAGATAAGCCATTTCCGCCACAAGTGGCTTTGGCTGTGCTGCTCATCACAGCAACAGAAAGCTGACTAAGGCGGCAGAGTGGATTAACTCACCCTTCTTTCCCCGTGTGCTTTTCAGCGCAGTTATAGCCATTTAAATGTCATCAAGCATGAGGATGATGATGATGATGAAGATGATGACAGTGGTGATGATGGTGGTGATGATGATGGTGGTGGTGATGGTGGTGATGATGGTGGTGATGGTGGTGATAATGGTGGTGATGGTGGTGGTGGTGGTGATGGTGGTGATGATGATAATGGTGGTGATGGTGATGGTGATGGTGGTGGTGGTGATG